GACAACCCTCTCCGTGAAGACATTTTTCCTAATATCCATCCTAAACCTCCCCTGGCGCAACTTGAGGCCATTTCCTCCTGTCCCATCGCCTGTTCCTTGGGAGCAGAGACCGACCCCCCCTCGCTGCCCCCTCCTTTCAGGGAGCTGTAGAGAGCGAGAAGGTCTCCCCTCGGCCTCCTCTTCTCCAGGCTGAACACCCCCAGGTCCCTCAGCTGTTGCTCATATGGACAGATGCTCCATTCCCTTAATTGTCTTGTGGCTCTGTGCAGGACTTAACTCCATTAACTCCCTATCTTTCTTGTGTTGCACAGCTCAGACCTAGACACAGCACTCCAGATGTCATATCAACAGTGCTAAGGAGGATCACTTCCCTCGATCTGCCAGCAATGCTCTTCCCAACACAGCCCAAGATGCTGTTGGCCACCTTTGTTGTCAGGGTGCATTGCTGGCTCACGGTCGGCTTGTTGTCCCCTCCAGGACACTAAGGTCCTGATCTGCACATCTGGTTTCCAGAAGGTTAGCCCTAAGCATGTAATGGCACATGGGGTTATTCCTGCCCAGCTACAGGACTTCACATTTCCCCTTGTTGAACCAAGAGACTCCACTCTGCTTAATTCTCCAGCCCATCCAGGTCCCCATGAATGGCAGCACACCCATCTGGTGTACCACCACTCCTCCCAGTTTGGTATCCTATGTGAACTTGCAGAGGTTACATGCTGTCCCATCGTCCAGATCACTAGTGAAGATGTTAAACGGTACTGGCCCCAGTTTACCCTGGGCACACCACTAGTGACGTTGTCTCCAACTAGACTCTGCTGCTGATCACAACGCTCTGGGCCTGAAGGTTCAGCTGGTTTTCAATCTACTGCACTGTTTGCTTATTTAACCCATACTCTGTCTGCCCATCTATGAAGTCAAGGTAAACAACACCCATTGCTGTCCCTCTGTCTACCAGGCCAGTCACCTCATTGCAGAAGGCTACCAAGTTTGTGAAGAACAATTTCCCCTTCATAAATCCACACTGACTACTCCCGATCACAGTTTTATCTGTCTTGTATTAGGAAGCAGTTTCCAGGATTAGTTGCTCCATCAACTTCTCAGGGACTGAGGTAAGGCCGACCAGCCTGTGGTTCCCCAGATCTTCCTTCTTCCCCTTCTTGAAGATAGGAATGACATTTGCTCTTTTTGAGTCTTCAGGAACATCTCCCATTCTCCATGACCTTTCAAACATAACCGACAGTGGCCTTGGAATGGCATGAGCCAGCTCCCTCAGCATCTGTGCGTGCGTCCTGTCAAGCTCCATGGACCTAGGTATGTCCAATCTCTTTTTAAGCGTTTCCAAACCTGATCCTCCTCCACCAAGGGTAAGTCTTCATTGCTCCAGACTTTCCCTCTGGTCTCAGGGGCCCAGGATTCCTGAAGGCCAGCCTTAGAAGTAAAGACTGAGGCAAAAAAGGCAGTGAACAGCTTGGCCTTTTATTTGCGTCCTTTGTTACCAAAGCCCCCACCCCAATTAGCAGAGGGCCTTAAGCCTTCCTACTGCTGTTTACTTGTAGAATCCTTGCTTGCTGCCCTTCACATCCCATGCCAGATTCAGCTGGTGGGCTTGGCTTTCCTAACCTCTCACATGACTGGACAGCATCTCTGTATTCATCCTGCGTCAAGTGCTGCTGCCTCTACAAAAATTTTTTTCACATAAAATTCCAAACAAAACTGTTCAGCAATCAGGGAGAACACTAAGCATTTCATCCTGCAGATGTAAAATACTCGCTAAGTTTGTATTCAAGTGATCTTTCAAGAACTGGCATGAAGGAGCCTTCTAAAACACTAACGTTCCACACGCCTTCAATTAAAGGACCCCGAAGAGAGAGGACATATGCAACTACCTTACTAATACTAAAATGGGTAGATGAAGACCTGGATGACCGTAACACACCCCCTGACCTATCCTGGAAATCCACTGGAAGGCAGAGAAAAAACACAATCCAGAAAAGCTGAAGTAGTGTGTGCCTTCAGTGCAACATGAAGAGCAAATCTGACCATGGAAAAGGCATGTTCTCATAACCTGCAGCACTAAACTGGGAAACGGAAACCTTTTTAGAAGATCCTATTTAATTGAAAATGTCAACCAGGCTAGAAGATTATGGTTTTCTGGTGTTTTCACGAATGATATAACTCACAGCAGCACACAGAAGGTACATTGAGCAAGGAAGGCAAGCACATGAAGCAAGAGCCAGCTTTTAAACCTTCTGCAAAATAAAAGCGAGAGTTTATTACCATCATGACATAGTAGGAGGTATATCTGTTGAGTAAGCATTCCCCTTGGTGACTTTGCAACAAAGCCAAAGAGACCAGCTGTTACCACTAAATCTGACCTTAAAACCCCCAACACTCTCCCCCAAAAGCACACACTAAATCATAACACATATACAACATTCAGGGAGGCTTTAGTTGCCATTTCAGAAACTAACCATAGCAGTTAGAAACCCACTGATTGTCACTTACCTACGGCTGCTCCTCCTGCCTTGGGCTGTGTGCTTAGGTACAAAATCAAGGCAGGTCTCTGGTAACCACTTTTGCCACTCCAGTAATCATAACAGCTGCTAGATCATGACATGTTTGTCAATTCATTACAACTGGAAATTAACCTCATGCTATTCCACCCAGTTTGTTCACCAGAGTTTCTCAAGAACAATTCCAATGTGAAGAATCTTCTCTTTATGACCGGCTTTTACACCACTGGGAGTCTCAAAGGCTCAAACACAGACCAAGGTGAGACAAAGCCTTTAAAAAAAAAAAAAAAAAAAAAGTAACCTGCATACCACTTTGGACTTTCTGAAGCATTCTGGGCAAAAAAAAAGTTCCTCGCAGAACTATTCACCTGCGACATCTCACTCCCAGCAGCACATGTATTCAGAGATGAAGCTCTTCCTCTGCTGATGAAAGTCTGCCTTAGTTTTGCCAAGTTTCTAAGCAACTGAAAACATCTGGCTTGGTAGAGCAAGTGCTTGACCCTACACATAAAACTGTATGGCTAGAAGGTAAACTACATAAATTCATGTTAGATCTTCCTAAATGAATGCCAATGTGGGTGAAGAAGTTTTCCATTTCTATGATACATTTTTCAATGTTTGCTGTTTCAACTATCCATTATTTTTTCTCAAAGCCACATTTGCCTTAGTGAAGAAAAAAAAAAAGCCAGATCCAAGACACCCTAGTAACCCCTATTTTATTTCTACATCACCTACTAAGTGCCTCAAGTGTCTGTAAAGGATGTGAAAAACAGCATGACAAGTCTTCAAACATCAGGTAATAAACTCCAAGACAGTGAAAGAATGACTAAAATAAGATTAGTTATGAAAGCACGTCACTCACAACCTTATTAGCTCAATTCTCAAGCAAATCAGGAGCCTCGTACCCTACATTTAGTGTTTTCAAACCTAAATCACTGGTCAAGATCTAAGGATTACACAGTTTCCAGCTCTCACATGAACAGTACACGGTGATAAAACAGTACTGTTAAAACAAGTTCTCAAGAAACCAGCCAAGGAAGTTCAGTATTTGCAGACCATCTGATGCTCTTTCAGCACACGTGAGACACCACAGCATCTTAAGCCTGAAGACCACTGGCTGAGGCGCTTTTCTCGCCTTGGTAGAACCAGGACCTTTTGTTCTGCTCGCAGCGGTGACTTGATTTCTGAGAAGTGGCTTGTTAATCTCAAGCCCTGTTACCCTCAGCGCAACTGAGCCCACGCTGAAGCCCAGGCTCAGTCACGTTCCCACCCCGTGGACTTGTTCGGGATCGGTCAGTCTGCTGCTGGTGTGCCCCCTCACCTCTTCCACCCCACGCAGCCCCACGACGGCCACAGCCCCACTCGCCCAGCTTGCAGCACTCTGGTACACAAGCCATCCCCAAGGCAAGGTGGCCTCCTAACGCCACAAGCCCTGACTACACCAACTTCCCCCTTGGCTACGCAAGACCCCAGATTTAGCTTTCTGAGAGCGCCTCTACTCTGCCAGTGATGCAGACAGCGCACCACGTCCTCCTCCTGCAAACACTAAGAAGGCACGGAGCCCATTCCAACAGGCGCCTTTCCACCACTTCCAGCTGACAGTTGGTAGGTTCCCAACACAGTAGAAACAAACTCTAACCACCGAGAACAACCCTGATGGCAAAAAAATAAATTAAATAATTATTTTAAATGTAAATGCAGCATTCTGTTTAACAGGGTCACAAATTGCAGCAGTCAAGTTCTTCTCTAGCACCCGGCAGCCCAACTCCCTCCTCATATGCACGTGTTTCCCCAAAACCAGAGCTTTGTCTGGGGGAACATAAATAGTAAACCTTACTTCACAATCAGGGACTCATTTGGGCAGGATGTCTCTCTGGCCACCAGGAGCCAGACACATTCACCGAAACATTCATCTTAGAAACAAAACATCTAAGGAGTTAAAACTACAAGCAAGCAATCGGATAGCCAAGCACAAAGCAAAGGCTAGTCCAGGTTTGGTGCCCAGCCAAGTCTAGCAGAGCAGTAGCAGGAGAGAGCCTAATGTATGTGGAGAGTTCAGCTGGGAAGAGCTCAGAACAACGCATCCGCTTGGCTTGACATGCAGGAGCCGGCATGCACTAGGGCCCATGGACTAGCACGCTCTAAGAACAAGGAGAGGAAGAGAACTAACAACCAGGAGACTTCACAAATGGCAGTGCTCCCTCTCTGTAAGGCTTCGGCTGGGAGCACGAGGAACGGTTTGCATCCCAGCGCAGAACACCAGGGCTCAATGTAGGATGCACCTAAGCCGAACAGTTTTACGTACCAGCCTTATAGCAAGGGAACACGGTATAAATAAATCAGTGTGTATGTTTGTGTGTGTTACAAATATAGATATACACACACACATATATATAAATATATATATATACACACACACACAAATAAAATAATGTACATTACATATATAGTGGTAGTCACATCACAGGAGCGGAGAAGTTTGCTCACCATTAGCAAATATCCTATGAAAGACTGTTGGTAACAGAGCAGCCCGTAAGCGGGAAGTAAAACAAGATAGAAGTCAATGAGTTGATGAAACAGCAAGCACTTAATGTCGATAGAGACAGCTAGGTCAGAATCATGGCAAAACATGGACAAGACTGAGAATCTGGCCCTGCCTCCAGTCACCTTTTAAAAATAAATTTACACAAGGAACATTAGCATTTCTAATTGAAAACCAGGCTGGGCAAGGGAGACAAGACACCTCTGACCCAGTAGAAAATTATGGCTGACTCTGGTGCTAAGCAGCTGGAAATTCTGTTCTTTCTGCGAGTGCTCTACAGTCCCTTAGCACCCCTTCAGCAGACAACTACCTTTCTCCACACCCCAGCAGCTTCTCCTGGGCAGGATCTTGGCAGCAGAACCCATACTTACATACCTGACCACATAATTTAATAGCAGAGCTAATACCAACCAAGACTCAGTCTCCTGGCACCTTCATCTGGAACTGAAGAGACTCTGGGCAGACTGCAATTAAATATATAATGAATCCTCGAGGTCAGGTATGTTGAAGACAGGAAAGCATATGCATCAGCCCAGTGCCTGGAGGCACCATACACGTGCCAACACATGGCCATGTCTGAGGGGCACCAGAAGACATTACAAGACACTCCAGTTTGAGCCCTCAGTTCTGCTGGGGCAGCAAGAAGGATTTTAATTCAAAACCCATTATCTCTTTTCACCTGTGACTGGTTCTTACACTCGCAATCAGAATTACAAGAAACACCTCCCAACACTGCTTAACAGGCAAGCAGCAGTGTCAAACACACCCCGTCTGACACACTGTTCTCCTTCGCACCCAGAGCGCCTTCGACCTCTCACAGTAAAACATCTCGCAACGTGTTCCCTTCCCAGCTCCACTTGTTAGACAATGTAGATGTGCACAGATGCAACATGGTGTTGCATGTGGATCCTGTGGAAGGGTACATAGAAAACACCTTCGACCTCTCACAAGGAATGTTTTCATCTGACCACAACTCCAGAAAGCAGCTGGAACATTCCAGGCTCTGGGATCACCAGCAGCACATTTAAGAACTGTAGGTGTCTTTCCTATCCTGACCACAAGTTCTCCAAAGCTCCCCACTCACTCAACACTTTTCCTCCTTCAATCTATTAACCCTGCACTTTATAGCACTGAAAAAAAAAAAGTTGGTAAATTAATGGATTATGGATGGCTTTTGCATTTAAGCAGTATGAGAAACTCCCCCTCTTGCCCACTCCTTTTTCATTCAACAGATAACCCGCAGCGGATAAAGACTTCATCCCTCTTCCCAAAACTCAATGCAATAGTAACAGCAATACCCTACTACTAATTTAATCTGTTTTCTTCCTGCAGTGCACAGGTGGCTCTAGAAAAAAAAGAGACTGATCCAGAATTACAAGCATAACAAGAAAAACAGTGGTCAGTCCTGCTAGTGCACGTGCTTCTGCAATCTGAAGTGGCAGCGAGGAGTGACAGGCAAAAGGGCTGCTCCCACACCAGCACGGGAGCTACAGGAACAAGCAACTGGCCATTCCCAATGCAACACAAGTCACAGGCACTACCCTTCTAGTACTTCCTCACCCAGCAGACAGAAGGATGTTTTGCAGAATACAGCAGAATGCACTTTCCTTTCCCCAGATTGTTGCCCCGCATTCAGCAAGTATTCTCTTTTGCCAAAAGTAGAGGGAAGAGGAGCTGTCAGGAGCGTAGCCCAGAATGGTGCTGCGGACAGGGACGGTATCAAAGAGCAGATCATACTGCACTGAGATCGCTGTTCCCCTTAAACACATGAGAATTACTGCCCCACTTCTGTTAAGTAAACAGAGGAAAGTTTTCAGGTACCAAGAAGTAACTATGTGAAGCAATAAGCGCAGGCTAACATTGTCACTGACCTCGAAGCAACTATCGCTCCAGGGCCTGAACATGAAAATAGCCTGTCTGGCTACTGCACAGTCAGCAGCACTGGAGAATCTCAAGCTCAACTGCATCCAACAGTTCTGATGATGTAGTTCTGACGTTCCTAATTGGGTAGGCGCTGCCGGAATAAGAATACATTCTGCGACATCGGCAACTTTAATTCTAGCCTGCGCTGGAGCCATAGCTTTCACATCTGGAGGATTCCTCTTCTGACCACAAGTCCACTTGTGCTCACTTCCTTTTATATTCAAGAAAAGAAGAGAATCTCCCAGATAAATTACTTCCCTTCTGAACACAAGGTGAGCAAGGCAGTCTACAACTGTGGAGCAGAAGAAAGTTTGTTCGGGAGCAACTGCAGTTAAGCGCTGCTCTTGCACAGTCACACTGCCAGCACGCGTCCTCTTCTTGCTGAGGATGCATTTGTCATAGCACCCAGACATGCACCGCTCTTTGAAAGAGCACGTCAGTCTGATCGCCTCTGTCTCTCCCACCATGCCTAACAGAAGCAAAGCTCTTTGGAACTGGAGGGAGCAGGCAGATGTGTAACACTGTTGAGGCAACTGTTTGTCACCCGCACTCAAAGAGCCACCTTTCTTCTAGACAGCCTCTGAACGGCACCACTGGGAGTCCCAATGCTCTTGAGAACGTCGTGTTTGCTGAGCTACAGAACGTCCCTCTGGTACAAAGCCATGGCTCCAGATACCACCTTCAAGTGGTTTGTTTTTACAAACGAAGTGCTGGCTACCAATCAGAAAGATTGCAGCTGTATAATACTTTTAAACTAAACTAGAAAGAGAGGGACCTCTTATGGGAAGTCTATTGTAGACTCGAGGACATAAGTGGCCTGAATTGAATGCCAAGGAGCCAGTTCTATTTGCCAGCATACAGGTATCAGACGTACACAACTTTTGGAAATTCCTCTAACCTGGACAAAGTCAGGGAAAGATGATGAAGTGAAAGCTGTGATGTCATCAGCCTGTATGAAAAGCAAGATGTCACAAATTCTACAGGCAGATAGAGAACCGAGTGTTCCTTCTGCTGTGAGCCAGGCTCCCTGGGTACAGGCATGTATCAGAGGTTTGTTACAGAGAACGGAGACCCCAATTCTGGAACAAAGAGAAAATACGAGAGTTCTTTGATGGGAAGAAAAGCCACAGAGGTCTGCAGCTTGGAGAGAGGCTATTTTTGGATGACAGGTGAAACAGAGCATTCTTTCCTGTCAACATCAAATCAAGAATTCACACAGACAAAAGCCTACAGGATGGCAAGTGCACACTCTTCAGGTTTGAGAATATTTGCAGAAGTTGGACAACAGATAGCAAAGCTGTCACTTGAAAGGGTGCATCAAAAGGCAACATAATGCGTCCTGACTGCAGACAGATTTTTAGAGGCATAGGAACAGTAAAGGTGCAAAAAACCCAGAGTACGCAGTACTCTGCACTGCCAGAAAAATCACCTCTTACTTATAAAATAAAACATTTCAGCAGCGGTGTCTGCCTGAACGGGGTATCTCTTTGCCAAACAAGCCCAAGGCAAATGAGCATCCTGAAGCCCAGGCCAAAGTGAGAGATGCTGGATGAGGATGCCAAGACAAGCAGCTTGCTGCAGCCAGAGTCTACCACCTCGATTACAAATGTTGGTTGCTACAAGAAGCACTCATGCGGCCTCAGTGGACACAGCTCTCAAAGCTTCCTAACACTGGGAAGAGAACTCTGTGTGCACTAACATGAAAAAGACTGCAGAGCAGATGAATCCAAGGATAACATGCACACAAAGCTTGGAAGTTTCAGCACCATTTCTTGGGTCAGTCCCTTGAGATCAAAAACTGAAGAAGGGGCTTGCAAGGGAAACATTATCCGGTATCAGTCCTTCCTACGCATGAAGGTGGTCCAACCAAAAGTGAATTCTACTACCAATTGCTGTCACAACTCACATGGAGGTGGAGGAATGTGTGTACGTACATGCCTATCATGCCAGATCACCCTGAAAGGATTAGATGCCTTTTTCTGTTTGGGCAGTTTGTCTCCTAGGCAAGGGTCACCTCCAACAAGTCTTACCTGATCCAATTTTGATCAGTCCGTTGTGCTGAATGAAGATGGTGTCACAGGTCAGGTTACCGTGGATGATTGGGGGATCACAGGAGTGGAGGTAGCTAGAGATTCAGAAGAGAGCACTGGTCAGGAGACCACTGAGGCTGAGGCCAGGAATCCCTCCCTTCATCCCTTCCGTGTCTCAAGCAACACCAGAAAAGAACAGGAAGGCAAAGGGCACATGCTGGGGTTTTACAATAGCAGGGAGCACATCACGTGACTGTACATCAGCCTCTAGGCCAGGAGAGAATCATGAAAATTAAGCAGTTGCCTCTAACAAACAACCTCCAGAACACGGGGGAAAAAAGAAAGCTTTCTCCGGTTGGTTCCCAAGAAACCCAGGGTACCAGGGCATCAAAAAGGCACTCAGTGCTGTACAAACATGACTGGCCGTGTTTTCCAGCGGGCACAAATAAAGCTCTTCAGTGCTGGGGTCCCAGGTACTTTTGAGGCTACCTGTTTTTGTGCCTTACTCTGCTTAGTTTTACATTAGCATCCAGCACAAATAAGGACTGTCAGCTCCCAAGAGCTTATCAGAACCCCAACTATTCATCAACAGCTACATTTAGCCAAATGGCAACAAAATTTTCTCTATGGAGCAGGAGTCTTGCTCTGACATCAGGGTTATTGTTTTTCCAAGGCTGTTATTAGCTACACACCAACTCTGGTTCAGGTAGAGAAGAGTCTTTAAAATCAAAACAAAAAAAAAAAATCCAAACATTCTATTCAACTGGGTGGCACTAAGATGGCTGCAGAAGATCTGCATCATCAAGAAATGTACAGATCCACATACACTTCTGACAATATCACACCACAATAATTATGAAGCCACTGGGTGCTACAGGGCTGCAGGCTGACAAGACCAAGAAAATTTTCCTCACTCCTCTCACGTGGAATTTGATTTCTTTGAGACTTCTTTGCAACGTCCTCTTGGCCATGATTAGATCCAGCTGGATACTCTGGAGAGCTCCCTGATGCTCAACTCCCACACTCACTATCATATCAGTCACAACTGTTGGAATCTAAAATCTACATTGCACCTGTTTCTCAATTTTAGAGGCTTTGGTATTGTCTAAGTGAAGACTCGGGGATTGTTACAGCAAGTGCAGCTGACACCCTGCAGACCATGACTGGGATAAGAATCAGGCTGGGTGACTGACAGTGCTCTCCAGGCTCCATTCCATGAAGTTTGCTAATGTTTGGCAGCATGTACGTTTACAGCTTTTAATATTCTAGCACAAGAGAGGCTACACTTAAACAGATGGCTAGACCACCAAATCAATAATTCACATACCTGAGAGCAGAGAGGATCTGGGTACACCATCGCTTCCAGGCCTACAGACACAGGAGCAAAAAGGATAAAAATCACTCAAGAAAGAGGAACTAAACCATAGTTCTGCAATTCATAGCCCATTTGTATGAAGGAATATACGCTCCATTCCATGGTGTCTTAGCTTTTACTCAGTACAGGTGTGTAGGAAGTAAGAACAGTACTCCCATGCTCAATTTAGTTTCTACATATACATATGGGTCACAAAACACACCTCCTCTCCTAACTCCTCCCATGCACGGATGCCTTCCCTCTTTCCTGTATGCACACATGGAAAGGGATGTGCCTGTCACACCACACATATGAAGCTGCAGAACTGCTGGAAACAAAGCAAACAGCACAGAACAGCTGTCCAAGAGAACCTGCAGCTAAACTAGTTTCCAGTAACAAAAAGGAATTGCAGCCACGTGTTATCTCCATGCTCCCTTCTCATCAGGATCCTCTGCTGAAAGAGCTTTCCAGAGGCTGATGGCACTAAGTGAAAATAGGCTTACATAAAGAAAAAAAAAAGAAAAAAAAAAGTTACCTTTTCATTCATAGTTTTGTGGTTTTTCTTTGTCTTCTTCAAGAACTGTTTCAAGCTCCCCGAAGACATATATTCAGTGATGAAGATCACCTGTAGGGGCAGTGTGAGACATTATCCTCTGCTTCACTAATTACATACAGGACATACAGTGAGAAAACCCAACAGAGTGTTAGCTTTACTTACCCTGGCCTTATTCTCCTTCACATCAGCCCAGTATTTATGAAACTTTACAATGTTCAGATGTTCCAGCTGAATTAAGTTGTCAAACACCGCCTTAACTTTTTCCTTAACATCAGAAAGACAAAGACATGTTACATCAGAGACCACATCAGCCCACATTTTCTTTTCTTCTTGGGCCTTGGTCCCCTTAAACATAAAAACAAACAGCATCTGATTTCATCCTACATTGCACCTCAGCTGAGCATGGTTTGATCACCAAGACCAAATCAACACAAGAGCCCATGGAAGTAGCACAATAACAGTTCTCCATCATGTTTTCTGCACAAACCAGGCTTAAGCTGAATTTGCTACATTTAAGCAGCACAGCACTCCAAATCCAGCCAATAATCCACATAAAAGGTCACCAATATCTATAATCCCACCATCACGCATTATGCTTCCCACATCTTGTCAGGAAACACATCGACTTACTTCCTGGAGCTTGAAGTTCTTCCGCTCAGAAAACTGAACCTCATTCCAAACAACTTCCACACCTTCCTCTGTATCCATGGCCAGGTAGGCACTATCGATCCCCGGGACATTGCGCTGATTCACCTGCATGGGAACGATGGAGACAGAAGTGGGTTCTAAGACAGCCAGACCAGATCATTACCACGCATCGTTCATTTGAGTATCAGGAACTTTGCTCGTTAACAGGACAGGATTGTGCACCTGTATTTCACGAAAGGGACATACCCAAACTCGAAGGCCTGGACATGTTTGAGGAAAAACTTCTTTTGCATAAAAGATGTTTTGTAGTAAAAGCTGCCTCTTGGCAACAATACATTCGATCTTTACGGTTTTTGATATCCTTAGTTAATTTACCACCAAAAAAACCCACCTCCAACCCCAACAAAAGGGGCACAAAAAAAGTCTCAAGAACCCAGACACAACTTTCCAGAGGAATTTTCTGAAAGTGATGAGACACGAAACTCAAGAGAGGAAACTGATGTAAGCAGAGAGAAACAAAAGGAAAGCTGCAAGTTAGGAACAGACTTAGGAATGGATTACACAATTTAAATGGCTACAATAATTTAACCCAGCACAAGTACATCCATATCTAATATTAAAGACACAGATAAGGACCAAGAAAGCAAGAAGGTAAGGGGACGGGACCTGACAAAGGGAGAGTTTAAAGCCTAGCACGAGAATAGCTCGGGCTACGGAAGTACTCAATGCTAGATGACCTGCATAGATGTAAGATGAACAACACTCCCAGCAGCAAAGTTTACCATAATGTTGTTTTTCCGCAGATATGTAGCAGCATCTAAAGGTGCATATGGGTTCGTTCCTCCAACATCCAGAGCATCTTGCTGCTCTGTAATGACTTTATCAGGCTATTTCCCAGGCATGCACAAGTTAAAGTCATGGTTTAAGTCCTACTGCACCAGGCAACATGCAGTTGTAAAACTGGATTGCCATCTCAAAGTACTTAGAGGAGAGAAGACAGAGTGTAGAATTTACCTTTTAATTGTCAATCATCAACCATTACTACTCACCATCAACTGGCCACATACCCAGAATCATTTCACTTTCAGCTGACCCAACTCCCCTCTTGAGGTAAAAGTTAATACAGATACTTGGCTCACAAACCCAGACTCATCTTCCCCTCATATTACCATTTCACAGCTTTTCCTGCTCATTGCCTCGCCTTCTCTTCCCTCACTAGGGACCCCGTCAGCATCCATTTGCTGGAAGCTTCTCACCATACACAAGGGTTCCTCCGAAATCCCTTCCCCCTTGGCAGCCACTTCTAACATGACCAAATTTACTCCATTTCAGCTACAGTGTTATGCTAATGACAGCTGACACAAATGTTCTGCAATCCACAAAACTTAAATGAATTGAACACCACACTATAGGAAATAACTACTGGGGGGAAATAACGCCGGCATGAGTCTGAACCAGGAGAGCAGCGCCGCGGAGAGGGCCCGGGGCAGCCGGTGGGGAGCAGCTCG